CCCTCTCTCTCTCTCTATCTCTCTCTCCTCTCTCTCTCTCTCTCTCTCTCTCTCTCTCTCTCTCTCTCTCCTGTTGCCCCAATCTCTCAATTTCTCACAAATAAGCTATATTAAAGTGATCGTAAATGTGGAAATTAGGAGTTGTATAAAATTAACATACTTTAAAAGTAAGGTGTTGAGTTGAATGCATGAGGCCAACACATATATGTAAGATTATCTATTTCAAATTAAAAATAATTCTGTGTTTTGTTTGAACAGGCGGGACCAGGGCAGTGACGTGTTCCAGATGTTTATATATAGGTAAAATGCACATTTATAACTATTTCAAGAGAGTATACAATTTGACATGATATGCACACATTCTCTACAACCCATGCATTCTATTCGCTCAGCTTCTGTACTGTCGCCGATAAGTCTGCTCTGTACTCCTTCCTGGCTCTTTCTTCTTCTTACTTATCCCAATCTTTTTTCCGTTCTATCTCTTCTGTCTACTATCTCTGTCTCTCTCTCGTCTCGTCTGCTCTATCTCTCTTTCTCTCTCTCTTTCTCCTCTCTCTCTCTCTCTTCTCTCTCTCTCTCTCTCTCTCGCTCTTCTTCTAATCTATCTCCGTCTCTCATCTCCTCTCTCTCTCTCTACTTGCCTCTTCTCCCCTCTCTCTCTCTCTCTCTCTCTCTAAACTCTCTCTACTCTCTCTACTCTCTCTCTCTCTCCTCTCTATCTCTCGCCCTAGTCTCTCGTAGCTCTCGGCTCATTTCCTCTCTCTCGCTCTCTCTGCTCGCGCATGGCCGCTCTACTCGCCTCTTCTCTGCTCTCTCGCCTCTCCTCGCTCTCTCGTCTCCTCGCTCTCTCTCTCTCTCTACTCTCTCGCTCTCTCTCTCATCTCTCTCCTCGTCTCTCTCTCATCTCTCCGCGCGCTCTCGCTTCTTCCGCTCTCTCCCTCTCTCTATCTCTCTCGCTCTCTCTCTTCACAAAACTCTCACTCTCTCTCTCGCTCTCTCTCTACTCTCTCTACCCTCGCCTCTCTTCTCTCGGCGCATACCCCTCTCTCTCTCTCTTCTCTCTCTCTCTCGCTCTCTCCACTCTCGCTCGCTCCTCGCCTCTCTCATCTCTCTCTCTCTCTCTCTTTCTTCACTCTGCACTCTCTCTCTACGTCCGCTCTCTTCTCGGCTTCGCTCCCTGCTCTCTCTCTCTCTCTCTCTCGCTTCCTCCCTCTCTCTCTCTCTCTCTCTCTCTCCTCTCTCTGCTCTCTACTTCTCTCTCTCGCTCTCTCGCTCGCTCTCTCGCTCTCTCGCTCTCTTGCTCTCTCGCTCTCTCTCTCTCTCTCTCTCTCTCTCTCTCTCTCTCTCTCTCTCTCTCTCCTCTCTACTCTTCTCTCATCTCCTCTTCTCTCTCTCTAGCGCCTCCACCTTCTCTCTCTCCTCTCTCGCTCTCTCTCTCTCTCTCTTCTCTCCTCTCTCGCTCTCTCTCCCCTCTCTCGGTCTCTCTTTCTTTCTCCTTCTCTCTTCTCTCTTCCCTCTCTCTCTCTCTCTCTCTATCTCTCTCTCTCCTCTCTTCTCTACTCTCGTCTCTTCCTCTCTCTCTTCTCCTCTCTCTCCTCTCTCTCTCTCTCTCTCTCTTTCTCTCTCTCTCCTCTCTCTCTCTCTCTCTCTCTCTCTCTCTCTCTCTCTCCTGCTGCCCCAATCTCTCAATTTCTCACAAATAAGCTATAATAAAGTGATCGTAAATATGGAAATTAGGAGTTGTATAAAATTAACATACATTAAAAGTAAGGTGTTGAGTTGAATGCATGAGGCCAACACATATATGTAAGATTATCTATTTCAAATTAAAAATAATTCTGTGTTTTGTTTGAACAGGCGGGATCAGGGCAGTGACGTGTCCCAGATGTTTATATATAGGTAAAATGCACATTTATAACTATTTCAGAGAGAGTATACAATTTGACATGATATGCACACATTCTCTACAACCCATGCATTCTATCCGTCAGTCTGTCTGTCGGTAGGTCTGTCTGTCTCCTTCGGCGGCTGCTGCTCTCTTCTTTTATTTCCCAATCTATTTCCCTCTATCTCTCTGTCATCTCTCTGTCTCTCTCTCTCTATCTCTCTCTCTTTCTCTCTATCTCTTGCTCTCTCTCTCCCTTTCTCTCTATCTCTCTCTATATCTCTCTCTCTTCGCTATCCTCGCTCTCTCTCTCTTCCTCTCTGTCTCTATCTCTCGCTCTCTGTCTCTCTCTCTCTCTCTCTCTGTCTCTCTCACTCTCTCCCTCTATGTCTCTATCTCTTGCTCTCTGTCTCTCTCTCTGTCTCTCTCTCTCCCTCTCTGTCTCTCTCTCTCTTTCTCTCTCTCGCTCTCTGTCTCTACCTCTCGCTCTCTGTCTCTATCGCTCTCTCTCTCTCTCTCTCTGACACTCTCTCCTTCATCTCTCTCTCCCTCTTCCTCTCTC